TTTCTTCTTCTCTGTCTCAGCAAACGACTATGCTATGCTTCTATTCACTCAGGAGATCGTCTTTTTTCTTACACATCCCATCCAGTCCATCATTAAATTGTTTTGAGTTATGCCCGGCCGGTGTGGCTCAGTGGTTGAGCATCAACCCATGCACCAAGAGGTCACCGGTTTGATTCCCGATCAGGGCACATGCCCAGGTGGTGGGCCCGGTCCCCAGTGGGGGGCATGCAGGAGGTGGCCAACTGATGTTCTCTCATTGATGATTCCATCTCTCTCTCCTTCTCCTTTCCTCTCTAAAGTCAATAAACAAAAAACTTTAAAAAATTGTTCTGAGTTAAATTCAACTCTTTCTCAAAACTTCCATGGCTACCATCTTTACCCAAAATGTACCACCCTCTTCTGCCTGGATGATGCCATCGTCTCCTGTCCTCCCTCTTTCCGCCTTGTTCCACTTTAGACTGTTCACAAATAACAGCCAAAAAACTGTGTTGATGCACAAGTCAGATCATACCATCGCTCTGCTCAAAACCCCAAAATGGCTCTCCCTCTCTTAGAGAAAGCCAGTCACTGTGCCCTAGGAGCCCATTCATGGTGCGTCCCCAGCATCCTTCTGACCCCTAACTTCCCCCTGTCACTAAGTGCTCTGCATACACTGATCTTTCCACGGTTCCTTGAACATGTCAGGATGTTCTTGCCATGTTTACATTTCATTTATTGTTCCTCTGCCTGTCAAAGTCTTTCCTCAGATACACTCACTGCTCCCTCCCTCATCTCCTTCGAGTCTTTGTTCAAATGTGACCTTTTCTTTTTTTTCTTTTTTTTTATCCTCACCTGAGGATATTTTTCCATTTTTTTGTACAGATAGAATGGGAGGGAGAGAGAGGAAGGGAGAGAGAGTGAGAAACATCGACGTGAAGGGACACATCGAGTGGCTGCCACCCGCACGACCAACCAGGGCCGGGGACAAACTGCAACCGAAGTACGTGCCCTTAGTGGGAACCGAACCCGGGTCTCTCCGGACCGCAGGCCGATGCTCTAGCCACTGAGCCAAACTGGCCAGGGCCAAATGTGACCTTTTCAATGGGGGCATTCCAGACCACCGTTTCCAACATTTCAACACTCTCTACCCACCTCAAACTCCTCAGGCCCCTTTCCTGCTTATTATTTTATTCAGGGCAAATATCACCAACAAAAACCAAATATGTATTTTAATTATTTTCTTTACTGTCTGTGTCCCTCCCTGATAGAACGCACGCTCCGTGCGTACAGAAGCTTTCGTCTCTTTTATTCCCTCTGTATTCCCGGTGTCTGAACCAATACCCGAAACATACCAGGTGAGTGAACGTGTGAAGGAATGAATGAAGACTGTATCCTGAGAAAAAAGTGGAGACATAACTGTGAAAGAGAAGAGAACATGTCTTCATATGAAGTGATTTATTAAAATGCACCGCCCCATGGTCTGTCCTCTGGTCTCTGGTACCTGCTTTACAGAGAAGAGGAGAAATGGAAGATGGAGTGATAAGAGGAGGGACCATCAGCCCTCCCCAAAGCTGTGTTCGAAGGAAGCCGGAAGTCCATTCTGAGGCTTGCAAAAAACACAGCAAAAATTAACACAGAAGAATTAACCGGTTCAATAATAAACTAGTGCTGATGGGAATGTGATGAAGTCTGAACCCTCAAACACTATTGGTGGGTAGGTAAGATGGTTCAGCTGCTTTGGAAACAGCCTGGCAGTTCTGCAAACAATGAAACATACAGTTACCATGACCCAGCAATTCCACTCCTCGGTATATACCCGAGAGGATTTAAAACATGTTCTATTCAGCCCTGGCCGGTTTGGCTCAGCGGTTAGAGCGTCAGCCTACGGTCCAGAGAGACCCGGGTTCGGTTCCCACTAAAGACATGTACCTGGGTTGCAGTTTGTCCCCGGCCCTGTTTGGGGTCATGTGGGTGGCAGCCTGTCGATGTGTCTCTCTCAAGTCGGTGTTTCTCTCTCTCTCTTCCCCCCTTTCTCCCTCCTGCTCTACCTCAAGATAAATACAAAAATGTCCTCGGTGAGGATTAAAAAATAAATAAATAAAATAAAACATGTTCTATTCTGTTCTGAGCACCCAATTTCAATGTGGGGAGGGGGACTTCCCCACATTTCCAACAAGCAATTCTTGGACACCAGCAGGATGTCTGAGAATTCAACTCAGTTCAACTCGACTCTGACGCCTGACTGCCTGGAGGTAGCATCAGATTCCATAGGTTAAGGGTTTACTTCTACAAGACTGCACCACCACCCCTTGAGACGTCAGTCATTGTTTCTTGTACTCCTGACCAACCCACTAGAAATCAGCGCTTCTCACAACCCCTCCTTGGGTTCCATTAACTTGCTAGAGTAGCTCAAAAAACTCGGAAAACCCATTTACTGGTTAGATTACCACTGTTGCTATAAAAGGATATAACTCAGTGTGAATGAAAAAGGGGCCTCATACTAAATCTGACAAGCTCAGGGGAGAAAAAAGCATGGTGGACAGACCTTACAAACTCAGAGACTGGATAAAACCACAAAGGATGCTCTGAAGATAAAAATTCCTAACTAGAAGTGGGCCATGGCTTTTCCAGTGTCACTCAGGAAAACAGCCAATCCCCATTCAAGGCCCTTTCTCTCATTCCAAGCTGATCACCAATCAGAAGTAAAAGGAAATCAAAAATGCTTAATGATTATACACACACACACACAAACACACACACAGAGTGTGAGAGAAAAATGTCACACCAAGATATTATTACAATCCATTAAGGTGAATTATTAAACTAAAGGTTATGAGTATGTTTTAACTTCTACTTCCCTCTTTATCTTCAAAAATACTTTAAATACTCTTAGATAACAGAAACCCTTAGCCACTTCTCTCTTTTATCACAATGGAAACAGAATTAATCATTTTTGCTGAATTACACTTACAATTAACTTTATGGATCCAATTTAATCATTTTCCTATATTAATTCTAAAAAGTTCTAATTTATTAGTCATCTCTTATTAGCATGCCAAGTTTCCCCCACTTTCAAACAGGATTGCTAAACTATAGGAAAGTCAACTACGGCAAACATCCCCATTTGGTAACAATTGGAATGAAGCATACCACAATGCAATTCATTCAAATAATTTTCATATCACATCAAAATATCACGATGATCCAGTTTCCATTTATGACTTGAGGCGCTTTCTGTGTTCTGTTTGCAGCAACATCATTGCATAAGAGTCTTTTGGAGAAGAGCAAATTGTGGTGTTAATTAGAGAAAATCATCTTTATTTTTTAGCCAACTTCAGATTTAGCCCTATAAAGTCACATATTGAGGCTACCCCAAAATAACAAGTCTTGAACTGTGTCAACATTGACATCCTGAAATTTTGTAAACTGAAGCATTATAAGACATGAGGGATCTTACTAAGAGAGAAATACAGTAAATGACCAATTCTTCATTCAAATATAAAGAATAGTTCTTGTTCAATCAATGTACAAATTGATATATATCCCAGAAGCATAGAATAGGTTATTTTTTCCATCACCAGAAGATGAAAAAAATCCCAGAAAATTCTATTTTCCCTCTAAATTTTTCCCCACCCAACTTTTTAAAAATAGCTGACACCTGCCACGTTTAATGCCTAGCAATAATTTGAATGTCTATGTTTATAAATGCACAAGGAAAGAATTTGAAAATCTCAGTGTTGAGTTCTCATTGTGAAGAGGTTGTGTCACGGTCTTCTAGTTAAAAGAGAGAATTTCAAAGCAGGAAAAATGTGGGAGCGCAGTGGAGGAGGACTTTTAAGAAACCACTGCTTGCCCTGGCCAGTTTGGCTCAGTGGTTGGAGCGTCGGCCTGCGGTCCAGAGAGACCCGGGTTCGGTTCCCGCTAAGGGCACCTACCTCGGTTGCAGTTTGTCCCCGGCCCTGGTTGGTCGTGCGGGTGGCAGCCACTAGATGTGTCCCTTTCACGTCGATGTTTCTCTCTCTCTCTCTCTCTCTCTCTCTCTCCCTCTCCCTCCCTCCCACTCTATCTGAACAAAAAGTGGAAAAATGTCCTCGGGTGAGGATAAAAAAAAAAAACCACTGCTTTATTTCTTCAACTGGGCAGCAACCAGTGCTAATGAAACTCAGGTGGATGTTGACAGCAAGCCCAGGGCTGGGCAATGCTACCCTCAGCAATGACAATGAAGGCTTCTAGGAGCCTCACAGAAAGGTGCCACTTTAAAGAGAAACTGAACAAAAAAAAAGTAAATTGGATATTACAGTAGAGCAGCTGAAACCCATAGCTTTAGGGCAAAATAATAATAATAATAAACAAAGTCATTTTGCTTCAACTACTTTGAAAGAGCACTGACATACCAAATTACATGCATTTCTACTGCATGAGACATAGACATGATGTTTATACCCATCTGTGAACCTAATGATGACCTGGTGCAAAGATGAATAGATTCAGTTCAGAAATGAATGGTTTCTCTCATTTTCATCTCTTCCGTTCCACTGGTAGTAATTACTTACAAGTTTCCTTGTCTCACACAGGTTTCCCCCCATCGGACATGAGTTATCCTGAGTGCCCCCGCATCCTGGATGTTAGCTTTTGAAGGGTTGCTGCTGAATACCATGTTCAAATCTGCCTTTATAATTAAACATTCTTTGGTTCTAAAATTAAAAAGTCAATGAACTCTGATTTGGATGTCGTTGCTCAAGACTCTGGATTCTAGTTTTCATAATTCCACATTTCCAGGTTTGGGGACCACCGTACAAGCCCCCCCAAAAAAGCCATCCAACTCCATGGCTGAGACCGGAGCAGGTATCAGCCACCCCCGAAACCAACCAGCAATTCTTTGTTACAACTACTTCGGCTACACATTTATAAAAATAAAAATAAATAAGAAAGGTTCTAAAACTTCCCAACACTGAAACAATTTCATAGCAGAAAACACGATGTGATCATGAGAAATAACAAAGAATAGACATTCCCCTTACCTGGATCATGGAAAGGCACCAAAGCAAAATTGTAAAGAGGTCTCTTGGGTCTTTTCAAAGACGTCTCCAAAATTTTGGAAGCCCCTTCGATAACCTGAACTAAATCATCGTACATGGAACCAGTCACATCGAACACAAAAGCCAAGGTGGAGGCCCCCTCGGGGATCTCCTCCGCGCCGGTGTCGGACGGGGGGCTGGCATCTTGAGCCAGGGAGGAATAAAGCAGAGCAAGCAGGAGAACTGTGTGGACGGTGTCCCGGGAGATCATTTTCTTGTCTTTCTTTGCCCCCCTCTTTCTCTGAGCTCGGTGCTTAGCCCTCCTCAACGACAGGCAGAAGGTCTCCTCTCCGGGCCACTCATTGGACTCTGGCAATCGCTTGCAACTAGTCAAAAGTTTGGCGCCGAGACTCGGACGGGGACGGGCGCCGAACCCGAACCCCTGCAGGGGCTGAGCGGCAGAGATGCGGCCGCTTTGTCCGGACGCAGCCTCCTCCGGGGCGGTCCCGCCCGCGGCCCGGCGCGTGTGCGGAGTGCGGGCGGCGCGCCCGGCCCGAGCCCCGGGGCCGCACTGAGCCTGCGGCGCCGCGCCCGAGTCCCGCTGCCCTCCCGCCGCCGCTCTCCGCCGGGCCGGCCACCGAGCCTCCCAACTTTCCACTGTCCGCGCCCGCTCGGGAGCCGGGAGGGGAAGCCTGGCCCGGCCTCGCCTGCTGATTGGCCGGCGCCGTCCCCGCCTGGGCTCCGAACCCCCCCGCGCGGCGACTGCGCTCCGCGCCGCTGCGGGGGTCAACCCAGTTCCAGGGGAGCGCTCGCAGCGTGCGCTCGCCCACCCGCGCTGCGCCCGCCCTGCGCCCGCCCTGCACCCGGGCACAATGGCTGTCGAGAGTGGGTGCCAGACACCCGAACTGGGGTCACGGCACGAACGAGCACAAAGGGGATTTTCTTGTTCTGCTGTGTGCACGCGGCTGCAGGCACCTCTTCCCGAATCCCCCCACCAGCCAGCACGCTCCAGCCCACCCCGGCCTGCAGCCCCGCCAGAAGGGGGAGCTGGAGACCTCCGGCGGGGCCGCAGCCGCTACCTCCAGCCTTCGATATGGGGGGACTGGGAGACGTGGAGAAGGGGAAGGAGCGAGCTGGGGGGGCGACAAAGCCAGGGGAACGGGAAAGGAGCTGTTGAAGGAAATGAGAGAGACAGCAGGAACTGGGGTGTCACTGATTGTCGTTGGGAAAGAGGGGACAAGGGAAGGAAGCTGGACTGGACACAGGATGGAAGCCAGGTGGAAAGGATGAGGAGGTGGAGGGGGCAGGGAGGGAGAGAGGATATTACAGAGAACACTGAGTTTTTAAATTTCATTATCAAGATTCATGTTTGCTGAGTAGTTTGAATCCGCCCCTTAGCATGATGAGGCAAAATAATATCCCCATGTCACATTTCCTCCCATAGAACTGCCGTGCGCCAAGTCTCAGCCAAAAATCCATTAAAAAGGTGTTCCCCTCCATGGCATTTTCTTGCTGATAAGTAAGGAAACCTCGCCCTGGAAAACATTACAAAGTTTTTCCATTTTGTAACTGTTATATACATTATAATACTAATAACAGAGATAAGAAGGTGGGCAAAGAAAGTCAACCATTAGCTAAGGATTCTTTGCTTCGTTTTAACCAAAACGTATTTCCTTCCTGGGAAAGGAGTTGTTGTCCGGATCCTGGCATTTAAAGAGGGGCAAACAGGCATCTTGATCATGTTCCAGTGTGTATTGGACCACCCATCCAACACGGAGGCAGCCTGAGGAAGGGCCAACTCCCAAGAGCCTTTTATAGTCAGCAACTGTCTTCTCTTTCAGACCCCGCGGCTCTGGGATCTGAGTTTATGATACCTATAAGTCATGTCACTTAAAGGAAGCAGACAGGCCATTTGGGCTGAGTGGGAATATGAGAGGAGAGGGGGAATGTACTTCCTTTCCAAGTAGTATTTAGAGAATGCTATTTGAGTAGCCCACTCCTTTGTTTATTCAAAAGGGATTGCATTCTAAATCCTAGCGTTTTCACTGAGATCTGAGCTATTCCAGGTGTTCAAGGGAGGTGGCAGAGCCTGGTGATTAAGAGCTCTGGGTCAGATTGCTTGGGTTCAGAGCCCAGATGTGACACTTAATAACTGTATCGTCAGCGCGTTACCTACCTTCTCCATGCCTTCGTTTATTCAGGTGTAAGTGGGAATAATGACAGCGTATCATTATGTGAGGATTAAATGAGCATCTTAGAGAATGTTCTATATGCATTAAAAAGAATGTTTGTCATTGAGTGGAATGTTCTGTAAATGTCAGTTCGGTCAAATTGTTCAATAGTGTTACTCAGATCTTCTACATCTTAACTGGTTTCTTCCTATTTGTTCTATAGGTCATTGAGAATGGTACTGAAATCTCTGACTATAATTGCAGATTTGTCTGTTTCTTCTTGCAGTTCTATAAGTGTTTGATTCAGACATTTTGAAGCCCCGAACTTAGATGCATAACATTTAGAATGATCATATACTCTTGATTAATTGAGTTCTTTATTATTAAGAAGTTACCATTCTTATCACTGGTAATATTATTTGCTCTGAAATATACTTTGTCTGATAGTAATATAGCCACTCCAGCTCTTTTTTAAATAGTGTAAGCATGATATATTTTCCACCGTGTGTTTTATATGTAAAGTGTGTTTCTTACAGTCATCATACAATTGGGCCTTGCTTTTATATGCAATCAACCAATCTATGCCTTTTAATTGAGCCGTTTAGACCATTTATGTTCAATGTGATTATGGATATGATTAAATCTATCATCTTTCTATGTGTTTTCTATTTGTCTCATCTGTTCTTAGTTCCTTTCTCCCTGTTTTTCTGCCTTTGTTTAGATTTATTGAATCTTTTTTATGATTCCATTTATTTCTATTGCTAGCTTATTAGCTATAACTCTATTTTATTCTTGTGGTTGCTCTAGGGTTTATAGTATACATCTTTGATTTATCACAGTCCTCATTCAAGTAATATTATACCACATCATATATACTATAAAAACTTCCGAATTGTACTTTCATTGGTCTTCTCCCGATTTTTTTTGCTATTGTTATCCATTATATTTTATATTACTGTATTTTAAACCCCACACTACATTGATGTTACTTTTTGTTTACATAGTCAATTAGCTTTTAAAGAGATAGATAATAAAAATTACTGTATTTACCCATGTAGTCACCTCCTCTGCTGCTTTCATTCATTCCTTTGTGTAGCTCCAGATTCCAGCTGGTGTCATATTCCTTCTCCCAGAAAGACTTGCTCTAGGATTTCCTGTAGTGCAGTTCTGCTGGCGATACATTCTTTCACTTGTGTGTGTTTAAAAACGTCTTTACTTCACCTTTGCTTTTGAAAGATACATTTTTGGTTGAGTGGAGAATTCTAGGTGAAGAGATTTATATTTTGTGTGTGTGTGCTTTTAAGATGTTCCTCCATTGTCTTCCTACTTGCATTGTTTTTAATGAGAAATCTCTATCGTATATGTATGTCTTCCTCTAGATGAGCCATAGATTATTTTCCCCTTGATGTTTTTAAGAATTTTCTTATTCTCACTGTTTTTTTTTGTTGTTGTTGTTGTTAATCCCACCTGAGGATATTTTTCCATTGATTTTTTTTTCAGATAGAATGGAAGGGAGGGAGGGAGGGAGAACGAGAGAAACACAGATGTGAGAGAGACACATCAATTGATTGCTTCCTGAACATTGTCGTGGATCAAACCTGCAGCCCAGGTGCATGCCCTTGACCAGGAATCAAACCCCGAGACCCTTCGGTCCGCAGGCCAATGCTCTAACCGCTAAGCCAAACTGGCCAGGGTCCAAGGTCAATATTAATGAGCAGTAGAACCAGGACTTGAACCTGGGCAAGGTGACTCTCAAATCCGTGCTCTTCACTACGTTGCAGTGTTACCCTGGGCTCTAAGTTATGAAGACATGAACGAAAGACATAGCAATAGATAATACAAGGAGAACCTGTGAGTGTAATATCAAAATTAGGTGATGATTTTCCATTGCTTTTTATGAAAAAGTGTACCTCGGAGCTCCAAATAAGCACTAGCTTAAAACACCTTTCAAATGCTCTGGGGACAGAGTCAGGAACAAGAGAAAAAGGTAAAATAACTTTTTAATTTACTGGGAGCTAATACCTATCCTTGAGCTATCCTAACCTTCCCCCACCATTGCTCCAGGAAGTTCTAGAAGATCCCAGGAGTCGGGGACTGAGAGTGGAGAAGGGATAAGCTCCTACTGGAGTTTCACAACAAGGGCAGACCCAGCACTGACATGTAGCGGGCCATGGAACATGTGTGGTGTCATGCTAACAGTCACCAAATTAGCTCTCAGCTAGCTCTCTACATACATTCTCAGCATTCATGTTATATTGAAGGGGGTGGATATGAAAAGGTAATATTTTTTAAAAAGTACTCCAGCACATTTATAGCAAAATCAATATTATAATCCCCTCTCCGATTCCGTTTTCTCCCTTGAAAAGTTTCGACCTGCCCCTGGAGAGGCTCAGACTGCTCCCTGGTGAAGTGTTTCAAGGGGTCTCCTCGTTGGAAGCACTCATCACAGTAGAGACCTGATAAAACCGAGCTCAGAATCACACCCACTTCAGATGACTGCCGTGAAGTAGTATGATAGTCACTGTCCTGTAACTGCCTCCTACAAACCATTGGATGATTTGATGTCTTCCCCTAAGGATCCTCCCCAAATGTCTGATTCTCTACACAGTGAGGCCCAGGATTATTTTCTGTTTACTTTAGCACATTTCTCCAGGGTGAGGAACTTGCTATTACAACCGAATTAAACGTAGAGTACTTTTGTACCAACCATAATGCTTATACTTGGCACAGCTATGACACTTAAAAAGAAAAAAAATCGCAGTTATATATATTTTTTTCCTCTTGTCTCCCCGAGGAAGGCAATAAAAGGACGGAAAACCGTCATGTTGTAACTGGAAAATTAATCACATCAGATATTCTCTTAGACTAATCAGGTTATAAGTCTGGAATTGGCTTATATAAAACAGATGTTTACATTCTTATTCTCTTTGGTACTAATGTCAAGAGAAGAAAGCACAGAATAAGTATGTCAGGGCATGCTTGGGGGGATGTAACTCTGCTTTTCCTTTCTTTAATGAAGCCACGGAGCCTGTGGTCAGCCAGGGGGACAGCCAAAAGCGGGGAGAGCACGTGGGACGCCTTATACAGGCAAAACTCCCTGCCTGGGATGGAACAAGAAGCCCGCTGCCCGGGGAAGAGGGGAGACTCCGAGCAGCAGGGAGAGGACAAGGCCACATGTCTGGTGGCTTGTCCAAAGGAGCCTCCCTCTGGCCCAGCTGCTGGCCTAGTTTTCCAGGACTCAGGATTCTGGTCTGGGCTTCACTTGAGATCTCCTGTAGAAGGACCTCAGCTCTCCACCACTCCCCAAAATAAACACGGAGCCCTGCAAGCTGTCCCCATACTCCTCGGGGAAGGCGTTTTAAAACCCTAACTGAAAGCGTATGGACAAAGGGGGCTTGAACTAAGTAGGTCTCAGCTTCACCTTCTGAAAAGTCTGTTGAAGGAATTAAAATGTATCCTCA